AAACGTCTAATAAGTTATTTATTATCCAACACGCCAAACTGTTATTTCAGTGCGGGCGAATTTCGCGGATATTTATTTACGGGGAGTGCGTGACAGAAGTATGCGAAGCGGAACGGAATTGGCGCGTTGTTGTGTTGCTGTTTCTATTTTCTTCATTAAATGAATAAATTTTCTGGTCGTAAAGCTGTTTTTCTTCGTTCGATTCATCAAATGAACTTGGATCTATATTTGTCAGCCATTCCGACTCTTCGTCGTCGGAAATATGATTCAAATTGTCCGCCATTTTTTTTTTCGTAACTACAATCCAATTCTTCGCTTGCGCGAAGCGAGAAAACCTGTTTCACCGGTATTACAATAGACGAGTACAAATACCGCGTGATATTTGTACTCGTCTATGGCGTTATTTGTACTCGTCTAGGTGTAGTTGGAGAATAATGTTGGATACTATACCTGTGTTTGGAAAGCTGGATACTCGGGGAATGGGAAAACCTGCAACCTGAGTAAGTAATTTTTACAGGCGTCTTAAAGTTCTACTCAGAGGTCACATGTTAAAACTTCCAATCAGTACGAGGCAAATGAGTTGGATCGTTACCAGCGTGATCCCAGAGTTGAGTTCGTAATTGAACCCCTTCATGGTAAGACCGGAACTGAGACTTAAGAAATCTGGATATGGGGGAGACACTTTCATTGCTCGGTTACGCTGCTAAAATTGAAATATGTGACTCCTTATCTGTGGCCAGGAACGATTCAACCGGAGGGCGACTGCCTTCAAGATTCGCTTGAAAATGGGCAGTATTGAATACTTGTAGATGTCCTCCGTTCTGCCTTCCGTTCTTTTGCAAATGGTTTGGAATACGATAGCGGAAAATATATGTGATTACGATTAATTTTCTTAAATTGAAAAAAGTTAGTTCTTCGCTTTTAGCAGCAATATCATGGCGCGAGCTGGCTCACGTTAAGTTTATGTCAGTCTTAATCGTTATGAGAGTTGACCTGGCTATTTCGTTCGTTCTGCTGTTGCTCGTTACTTCAAATTAAAATTCCTTCGATGTAACATAAACCAAAATTATAGAATGAAAACTGTAAGTGTTACAAAATCTAATGTTTGAACTGACGATCCTAAATATCAGAATGCTGCAAGCGCAAGCTGCATGTCCATTTTGTAGCACTGGCCTTAGGGATGAACAGAAATACATGTTCGACTCAGGACGTATCTTGATCTTAATCATTACGAACAGGCCTACCGTGTGAACTCTAGTCTGAATAAGTTGTCCGTTTAACAAATTAGTTTTCTGCTCGGGCTTCCGAGAAAAGCCCGAGTTTGAAAATGCAAGCTGTTTTGGTCGCCAAAAGGGGGGTCATGGTCCCAGGCGTTTTTTGCGTGAACCGCGGAAACTGGGGAGGAGAGTGCGACAACTTATGTTATCGTGAACTCGCTCTTCGTAACCAACGTAATTTACAGAATGCTGTGTCTTGTAAAGACGGCTTTGCAAAGATTCCTGTCTCATAAGCTCATCCTACTTGCAAACGCACACCCCATTCGTGGTAGGCCCACGCTAGATGATATCGAGTGTTTTCGGAATGGGCCAGTCCACGAACTTCATCGCTTGAAAGCTTGCCAAATGTGGAAAGTTCATAATAGTTCTCACGAGATAACAAATGAGCCATATGTGCGTTCAAACTACGAAAATACTGGTAAAACCGTGACGGCCGATGTAACAACAAACTTTGATGCTGAGACGAACATCTAACTTGCTGAAAAAATCAAGAATGTTCGTGCACACAAATTCGAAGGTGGCGCTAACAACAGCGAATTCAGTGGATAAGGATACTAACAGAAGCAACGCAAATAGTAAGGTTAAATATATAAGCTTAGCTCTTCCGTTAAATATCCTGTTTCTGTTACTGGTTTTCACTGGGTTCAATACTTGTAAAGTACGATTCGGTATTTCGTATATAATCACTATTAACTATACACCACAGGTAAGGCAGTTTGATGTTTATTTCCCATTGATTTATATACATATACATAGTCAGCAATATATCGCTATAGGTGAGGCAAACGGTAAATCTGGTACTATAAAATAACAATCGGCTACACAAACAGATTGTATGGGCTCCCTGTGAAGTCACTCGCGAGAAAAAAATTTTTTCCCGAGGCATTCGTTCGCTGACGTCATCAACGTGCATAATGGAGCTGAAGCACGCTCGCGCCAATGAATTTGATTGCACGAATTTACAAGTTATGTTCAAATTGTACTCTTGTTTGGTGTGAATGCCATGGCTATAAAATAAGCCCGAGTGAATGCTCCTCGAGCGTCTAGTTTTACTATAAACCCCTGTTCAACCGGAAATATTAAAAGAAGCCAGCTTGGCGTCTCTTTGTGGACAGAAGGCGTTTTCGAAAGGAAACTTCGAAAATGTAATAGATCTGTAACATAAGCGGAAAAGCGTAAACAGGTTGGCTCTCATGGGTCAAAGATCACGCGCGCTTTCCTCCG